TATATGACCTACATAAGCACACATGACCATCAGAGAGCAGATTGGCTATTATAGTTATCCGTAATGCATGCTACCGCTACCGCTTTTGTCCACAAGGCTGCCAGAATCAGCAAAAAAATAAATATGTTGCTGATTTAAGAGAGTTCTAGTTTCACTTTGGTTCTTTTTTTCTATGCTACTCCTCAGTCTGCCAAACTGCTTAAAACCCTTTAAGCCTATAAACTTGATTTAGTTCTAAGGATATATTTTATACATGCAGAACGCTGCTGTTGGATCTTCTTCTTAGCAGCTATCCTTCTATTACAGAGAATTTCCCCAACCATGTGCTCTCCATCCCATTATCTACTCCCATATTTTTACCTGCTGCTTTTTTAGTTTCCAACTTTGTATTTAACTTAAGACACCATATCCCACATAAGGCCCCGACTTCGCTGCTGAGAGCAAACACACCCACTGCTTGTCTTTGAAGCAGATGTGACTGCCAGATGGACCAAACCTCTGCCTCTTTACCACTGGTTACCACCTCTGTGGCCATGAACAAAGCCTCACTCAACAGGATCAATCTATCAGGGTCTGAGGAGCCAGTCCTCCTGAGACACATAAACAGACGCTCAGGAAAGGTTGGGGAGAAAAACAAAGAATGTGTGTGTGTGTTGGTAGTGTGTGTCGTGTGTGTGTGTTTGTGTGTCTCTTAAGACAGATCGAGACAAACGACTACCACTGGCTATAATCACTCTGGTAAGCCTTTAAATATATAGGAGCATCTCCAAACGTCTACTCTCGGCTTGTTATGTGGCTGTCTCTACAACAGACATAAAAATGCTGCAGAAACAGCATAACCCACAGAATTTCAGGAAGGCTCTATTAGGTCCCCAAGTGGAACAACAAAATGGTTTTAAAAGAACCCCAAAAGCACAATGTTTACCGATACTCAGCTCAACAATTTCTGCAACCTACTAGATGTGTCTGAGAGAAAGAGCATTGGGTAAAAGGTCAAATATAGACAGTTTTAGGTGAAAAGCCAAGGGCAGAAAGCAGGTGTCAGGATTGGAGTTTATACGGTGGTAGGCTTGAGAAAGGCACAGACTGTGTGTATTTGCTCATGCTATCAGTGGCGGCTTTGTGTTTACAGATGTTTTAGCGGTTGTTGAGGAAGACCAGGGCTAGACTACCACAGAGCTTGCCAGAGACCATTTCAACCATTGAAGAAGGTTGGCCAGACAGAATGTTTGATGGTTTGACCTTACCTGGCTATCAGCGATTTGTCTGGGAGCTTATCAGAAAAGTAGTGCAAACCCAAAAACATTTGCTACAGTTTGTTAAAAAATATAAAGTCAAAAAGCCTGAGGGCAAAGACATAAAGCTTGAAACTCTGTGTGGTTTACTAATTCATTTACAGTACTGTGCAGACACCTGTATGTTTGTGTACATCTGTTTTACACTGGTGCTTTAAATGTAACATGGCGTTATCAAAATTAAGATTAGCTGTGTTGACCCTTTCTAAGTTAATATTATATAAATATTTCTATAATATAACTATGATATAACTGGCCATTTTGTACACATCATGTAACTGATGGAGCTGCTCTCGTTTTCACATGTTATCACGTGTTTGTGGCAGTATCTTATCAGGATACTCTGATTCTATGCTGTGATTTTCACTCCACTACACCAAAATAAACAATAAAAACACTTACCTTACCCTGTCTGTGTCCCCACTTTTCCCCAACACAAAACCATGACCAAAAGCCATAGCAATAACCAAGAATTTATGACACACAGCCAAAACACAATTAGAATCATTCATTTCTAATCAGAATGCCAATATGGCTATTAACCACAATTACTTAATCTAAATGGGAATGCTTAGAGTATGTTCATACAGATATACTTAAGGCCATGGTATGACAAGCGCTCTTAGAGAAAACACAAGGCGTTGATTCACAACCAAAATCTATGAAACAAAACATGTTGGCTGCTTTGGAACAAGAACTGGCACTAGAATTATTTTCACTTGGAAAAGCCAAACTGGATTTCAACACAAAGAAATAGCAGAGTAGAACAATATGTTACAGCACATAATAATTGAACCAATGTTCTCAAACATTTGTGCTACATCGGTCCACTGAGTGGTTTATTTTTCCCCAAATTGAACTTAACTAACTAATATGTTGCTGAGGAAGATTTTACTTAATTTTGCCCTGATCTGTGCACTTTAGAAAGCAGCAGACTGCACAATGGTACACGCTGACCAAAACCCAGGGAAAGCCCTCCAAAAAAACAGAAAAGAAGAAGGGTGTGGATTTAACTTGCGATAAAAACACAATATGAGTCGGCATTCTCCAGTGCATGCCAGTGGTAATATTTCCAGCTGTTTTTCACTAAACCCGCACAAATAACTTGAATTACCGCCTCATGGTTGTCTTCTTCTGCCAACCCATCAAGCTGCAGATAACATCCATGTTCATTCCATATGTTTGGATCTTTGTTCTCCAGGAGACTCAGGCTCTCCTCTAGTGTGTCTCTCTCCTTTCATGCATGTTGTCTTTGTCTCTCTCCTCCTCTGGGTTTGTTCTTTTATCTACCTGTGTGAACAATACGCTTGAGCATTGCTCTTTTGAGTCTTTGTAATCTGCCGTCCTCCATGTATTAACGGAGAAGTCTGGCTCAGGTCTGTTTGGCAATACTTGGGGTGGCTCATCGACTTCCCGGATCCATCACGATTGTAACGTACTGTTGGTTTACTCTGTAAATGCAACATCTTTTGCACATCTGCCCTCAGTTGCTCTTCCTGAGATTTCTCCCATTGTTGTTCCTCATCTGAGTCGAGGCTCTTATCTATATCTATGATAGAGGATGCCATTTGCTGTACAGATGGTGACGTCCCTTTAGACAAATTTTTGATTTGTGATAAAAGGATCTCTAAATATAATTGAGTTTTAGTTGACTTTGTTAATCGTTGTTGTTCTTGTTCTGCTGCATATCTCTTAGTTTGCAAGTCCAATTCCATTTCCTTGTGTTCACGTTTGGCCAAGTTGTAGCTATGACAGTAGACAATGCATATAATATGGATGTTGCTGCAAAGAAGCTATAAATTCTACAACGTAGATATATGTACACACACTTTAACCCGTCAGCACAGAGGATGTATACAATCACCACAGTTGTGAGCACCCAAGATTAGTGTCGCCAATTCAGTATCCAACAAAATGTGAAAAATGGTTACAATGTCCCCTTCTGCTCCTGAGTTAAGGCTCTGAAAAATCGCAAGAAAAGTGTATAGAACATTATGATGTCACAGTGAAGTTGACCTTTGACCTTTCGGAAACTTGAGTCCAAGTGGAGAATTGTGCCAAATTTGAATAAATTCCAGCGTTCATAAGAATTGGATATATGTACAGAAGGATGGACAATCTGAAAACAGAATGCCTCCAGCCTGGAGACAATGCTGTCGTCAGCGCAGAGGCATAAGAAAGAAGTGCCCAAGTGAGTGCCAAACTATTTGTTTGACATAAAGTGGTTCATACATTAAATACCAGCTAAATCAAGTTGCAAAAATAATAGAAATAAAATTTCCAATGCTGTTAGCTAGACTATTAATGACTGAAATGACATTTAAGTCATATAAAAGCTTTCCATAACTGCACAAACAACATTGTTTAAAGGGATCAGTAGAAAGCCAGTACCAAATGCAAATGGGGGGTACCAAATTTAAATATTATGAGTACATGAGCAGGTACCACTATATCTACATGGATAGGGCTTCAATCAAAGCGCATATCACACAGCCAACCCACCCCCCAGTGTTTACCCAGGTAACGTGTGTGTTTTCAGTTCTGGCAACAGGTGTGTCAGCAGCCAGACAGGCAGAGATGGTTTGGAGATTTCTCAGGTCTCATGCTCTCTGACTCACTTCTTGATGGCAATAAACAGATGCACCTAAGAATATACTGGGAAGACAGTGGCTTGCCAAAATGTACATTTAAGGATGGCTTTTTATTGTTTTGCAAATTGTTTTTTAGTGCCATTAATTACTTTTTTATTATAAAATCCACAGTGTAAGCATTCAGTCGACTTAATTCCCTTATAACCAGGCCCAATATTAATAAAGGGTTGTTTTAGAAAATGCCTGCTTATGCAGCTTCCAGAAACTTCCCTCATAATATACATAAAACCCAGGCATGCAGATAAAGCAAAACCAAAAACGGCAACATTTCCTTTTTTTAAAAAAGATAAAATAAATAATGTTTTGAAAAAGTCAACATCCGAATTGATCCATTTCTTGGGAGTTGCTGTATCTGCACATATTTTTTCTAAATCATGTGCAAGTAGGTAGACTTTAAATAAACAAGAATGTTTTGGCTAAGGTTGCAGGGCCTTTCACCTAATTCCAGCTGTAGTGGCTTCAACCATTAGCGGAAGATGCCAAATTGTCTTTCTCAGTAAATTTTCTAATCTATTCTAACTCTGACCAGTATAAGACAGCATAGTTGATTTTAAAGCTCCTATCTTGGCCACCTATTGCTTTAGGGATTAGGAAGTGGTAAATCAAAAAATGGCCTGTTTTCTCAGCCGCAGCATTCTTTCACCTAATTATTTCAAATAGTTCAGTGACAGCTGGATTAGCTGGCTGAACATCCTGCATCGTCCTGTCCCTGGACTTTGACAGAGAAGCCCCAGCCATATATTTACCCTAGTTCTATTGATCACGAGCCTGTTTGACAAGCCAGACCAGGAAAGTGTGGCGTTTGCTCAACAGTGAACATTTCCACATGTATTTGAGCAAACACAGTATTCTGCAACTGATGTCTGACATAAGACGTGATAACAAGTGTCAACAGCATGCTGTACACAGAACCTCAATCACATTTGTTAATGTTTGATGAGCTCCATGTAGAGAGATTAATAAACTGTCTGAAGAATGATTTGTCTCACATTAATCTATTTCCTCTGCTTATTTGTCCTGACACAAAGCAGTACAAAAACACGGGTAACCTACCTGATGATGTCATGTGGTCCCGGCCCATCATAAATGCTGATCCTGGAGTGGACAGCCAATCCAGGGAGGAAATTAGGAGAAAGAGCAGGAGATTGGAGCAGGAGGACGAGACAGCCATGATGCTGGGAAAAGAGACGGAGGGAAGAATGACAGGGGGACAGACATACAGTGATTATAGTTATCAGTTGGACTCCATGATGACATGCCCACCCTTCCCTCACTACTCTCTACCTCCCTCATTCGTTCTCTCTCTTTATTTCTCTCTGCCCCATGAGCTCAAATTGTGGGTGCCATTTATTTTCAGCTGGTGTATGTGACACCTAACACGGAACAGGGCATAATTCATTATCATGCCTGGTTACTCCAGTAGCATTTGTAAGTTGAATGCTCGAAACATGTTTTTCTGTTTGTCTTTTTGAGTACTCTCCTTAAAACAATTTCTTTATGTGACAAATGAAAATTCTAATCAGACATTCCTTATCATAATATTTCTTTTAAGTTATACCCATTCAAAATTAGTTTGTTATTGGCCATGTTTTTATTATTATAATTATAATAATAATAATAATTATTATTATTATATTATTTTATATAGACATATATCTACTGTATATTTAGAAATGCCAACAGGTAGAGTAATTTGAAACGTAAGCAGAAAGTCACTCTTATGTAAACTCTCATTGGACAAACTAATACTGAATGAAATATCAGGGTAACTGAACCCTTTATCATTGTGCCCGTTAATCCCGGAAACCAGTCACTGATGCCAGGTCTATTTTTTTGAAACGTTATTTTAGGCCATGTTACATGACTCTTTTATAACGATAACCACACGTGGTAATATTAAACCTGCATGAACATTATTGGGCCATTTGGGGACAACAGAAACAAGCTGTAAACACAATACTGACACATTATCATCTTTTAAGTTGATATGGCAAAATACTTGCTTATTTACAATTCCAGTAGATAGGGGGCAACACTAGAACTCATTTAGAGTCAGGTCTCTCAACACCTAATGAATCCAAGTCCAATATTCATTCTCCTTTTAGCTCTGTTTTGGTCCTCATCAACTCCTGAGAGACATATGTGGCCGTTTAGCTGCTAAATGCTCCATTACGTTCACCAGCTAGTCGCTACCCTTGTCTGCCGATTGGTGCTGAGCAGGTGGTGTACACAGTGGGGGGAAAAGCTGCCATAAAAGCAACAACTGCCTGCTGTGGATGACAGTAGTGAACCAATAAAGCTGTGGGCAGTAAAAAAAATAAGAAAAGAAAAGAAGAAAGACACTAAAATGCTCCATAGAGCTAAGGAGAACTGCACAGTCAGGTAAAACCATCGGCGTGTTCACAACATTCACATTACACATAGCCTTTGATACATTGTTGATACACAAATATTGATCATAGCAGATTTAACCTTCTCAAATTCCAAACCAAATCAATTCCACATCAACAAGCCGCAGTGAGTATGATTTTTGGGTTCCAATTATCACATGCTGTAGCAAAATACAAGAGAATCTAGAAAGACTTCTTTGCAAAATTTGTACCACACCAACATAGCAACATGTCCCATGAGCTTGACTCCCCTTCTCAAAACTAGACTTAAATTTCCCAACAAAACCTTTCACACAGAAATGTGTCATCCAGGTCATCTACTGTAGCTACAACTAAAATTGGATTAGATTTTTTTTTTATAACAGCATATGGCCAGTGATATAGAGAAAACAACTTCCTGGTCTATAAGCTAGTGTTGGCTGGCAAGTTCTACCAGTCAAGTCCAACCTCTAAATATAGGCCAAACTTTCTGTCCGCACCCTTGGCTATTTACAGCTGTGTCTCCACAACTTCACTGAGTTTCCAACAACCCCAAATGTGGAGGCTATGTTTCTGAGGGCTACACTGCCAGTATTTCACCCAGTTCTGGTGTAGAACCCTTTGAGCCACATATAACTACAGTGAGATATAAAGCGTATCAAAATTTCCTGTATGTTTTTACAGACGCCATGCCTAGAAATAGTAAGTCAAAACATTGTTTCCCAGCATTTTCTACTTTCATATATAGTGACTACTACTGAGCAGGTATAGTAAGGTCGCCTCAGGCACATTTCCAAGACTGACAAGCTTGTGAATGAAGCAGAAACAGACAAACACACAACAAAAACAATGCACCAAGGACACAAAAAGAAGAACCATCTTCTTTGTGAATTTTAAGTTTGTAAAATGGACTAGTCACTGAAAAAATATTGAGTCAATGCAAACGTTAAATCATAAGTGTGTGTGTAGATGAATTCCAAGTGTCTGTGTGTATGGCCAAGAGGCCATACAAGGCCAAGTTATACAATGCAAGAATTTATGGCAGAGAGCTGTCAAGCAGCAGGCTCATCTGGCCTGACTAAAATGCTCCATTTACAATCAATTACTGCTTATTTTCTGCATTTGACATCTTGCCCAAGTTCGTCCTCACACCCTCTCTGTCTCCCTCTCCCTTCAGGTTTGACAATCTGTCATTCTAAAATCATTAAAAAACGTCTAATTTTCCCTCATCAAAAGCTAAACTTAACAATCCCACTGATGAGCACTTTAAAATCCGTTTTCTTTCTGACTACGGGAGGTTTTCCATATTGTCTTTTCTTTCAAAGTTTAACATTCTTTAATCAGCAGAGAAATCAAAGTACTATAGAAGAGGGCCAAACACTCCCTCCACTCCAACATGTGGCCTCATGTTAAGCCTAACATTGGTCTCCCCCTCTCTCTTATGTGAAAGCGTCTGTGAAAGCCCTGGCAAGATTACTGCTTCATCTCCATCTCGTGCACAATTCTCCCCCATTCCTGTCCTGCTCTCGGCCAATTACAGACTCTAAGACTGGCAGGAAGGCTGCCTGAGCCAATCAGAAAAGAGGGAGGCTCAGCCCAGGCCTCCTGGGGTCCCTTGGTAAACATTTAAGGCCTCTGTGGTCAACCTTCCTCCCACTACCTCTGCCCTAAAACGCACACACACATGCATGCAACATCTTGACTTGGCACCCCACTGCCAGCACCATGCCTCTCCCATGTTTCCACAAATCTCTATTAATCATCTGTGTTTGTTGAAAAGGAGCTGACAAGAGAGGGGGAGGAGGTTAGGAGTAGATGGGGTGATGGTGTAAGAGGTGAAGCCAAAGAAAAAGAAAGGTTAGGGGGTGAGGGGTCACATAATCTCTCTGTTAGTCTCTTCTATAGCTGTAGAAGAAAAGCATGCGTGCACACACAGACACACACACAGAGTGATGTTGCAAGCCCAAGTTTAGTTGGAGATTTCTCCAAAGAGAAAGCAGAAGGTTTGCGACCAGGGAGGTAAATGTTCCATTTTGTGAGGTGTGGTCACTCAGAAACACAAACTTTATTTTATCTGCTAGGGCAGTGGTCTCAATCTGGATTGTGGAGTGCACACAGGACCCTGGGTCAAAATATCAAGACCTTATAAAGTAATAAATAAGTCAGTAATCTGATTTATGAAGAGACAAAGGCTCTGATAAGGCAATAAAGATTCAGGTTTGTGAGATTTATTCACACACAATGATATCTACTTAATGGATGGGTTTTTGATAGGGAAGAAAAGAAACAGGTGATACTCATCGAGCAAACACATCAGTCATACCTGAAATATGACTAAGCTTATCTTGCTCCTGAATTCGCTATAAATATAGTGGTGAGATTTGGCTCACTCTTGTTTTGTAGTACTGTAACTTAAATACATAATAGAAGCATTAGCAATATAGACGCGTATATCACTGCTTTTGTCACCAAGTTGGGAGAATTTTTTTTATAATGGATCCTGCGAGCTAGTTCAGGCAGTCAACACGAGCTGCATTGCTATACACACGACATGCTAACTAACCCTAACCCATTTGATTAACATAAATAGTCATTTACAAATATACCGACATCCTGAAAAACCTAAGAAGCAAACTAGAAATTATCGTCTGGAGTGCGCAGATGTTTACTTTTAGGTGGAGAGTACGCATGTAAACACTGATTTATTAACATAATTATCCAATTACATGCATGCACAAACATGAATGCACACAGAAAAATGAGGTCGCCCTTAAATGGGATTATGACCCCATGTTGTGATGGACTTTCTCTGCATTCACAACCGTCAATGCGTTTTTCAACCTCAATCTGTGTGATGTTAAATAGGTAAACAGACACGTGCTCTAATTAAGATATAAGACAGGGGCGTTGATTAATTAACATCAGCCTTTGTGATTCATTCCTGTGATTTCTGAGTGGAGTCAAGTGCTTGTTCCAGAGGATATGAAGTAAAAACGCAAACAGTGTGAGAGAGGTGCTGGCAGAGGTGAGTAGTAACATGTCATTGGAGGTAAAATCAACATGGACAAAGCTCCTCAGAGCGAGTCAAACATTGCAGTTTTGGGCTATCCAAGATGCAAGTACACATCTACGAGAGAAATGTGGTGAAATATATGGTAATCCATTCAAAACAATAGTCCTATGTTGAAACCAGAGATTTAGGATTCAAACTTGCTGCTGCTACAACCCATGTCTATAAGAAAGTGACCAAGCACTGTTTTTCAATGTGTTTTTGCATGGGCATGAGATATTATTTTTAGGGATGTCCCGATCTGATCAATGATTGGCGCTGATAAGGCATTTTTTAACTGACCGTTATCCGCTAAATTGAGCTGTATTGATCCAATCTCTTGTTTCCTTCGCAGGGTTCCTTCCTTGGAGACAGGGCGACAGCCAGTTGAGGTGGGTGACAACCAGTTGAGGTGGTTTTTCTGCACATCCAACTGGGAAGAGACCCTGGTATAGACCCAAAACACATTGGATCCCTTACCTGGCCTGGGAAAACCTCGGGATCCTCAAGGAGAAGTTGGAAATACTGCTACAGAGAGGGACTTCTGTGCTTAGCCTGCTGCCACCGTGAACCGGCCCCAGATAAGCGGAAAGAAATTTATGAATGGATGGGACTCCTTGAGTATTGGAATGCATTATGGTGAATGTAATGCCTCCCATTAGTGCATTCCTGATCTCTCACGCACTCACTATGCACTCATCATTATGTATTTTATTACTTTCTTCAGACACTCTCTCTCATTCATTGTAGAGTTGTTCCGATTCTGATACCAGTATCGAAATTGCTCCGATACTGCCGAAATGCTGGCATCGGTATCGGGCGAGTACTGGGAGTCCAGGCACCGATCCGATGCCACGTAATTTATTAAATTAGTAATCTATTTACTGGTTAGCTCCCATTAAGCCTGGTACAGTTTCTTCTTCGCTGCTCCTTAAAACAGTGGCTCCTGTGCTGCAACCTGGCAGCCTGCTGTTTTAAAGAGGGACGAGGGAGAAATTGATCACGTGACACAGACACACACGTGTGTCAGAGCGGTTGAAGCGAGGCTTGGAGCTAAGCTAAGTAGCACTTTTCATGTCGGCGGTGTGCAATATGCACACAGGAATCTCCCACCAGTAAGACTGCGGACATGTAACATTGTGCAAAGATAAAATCTCAGGGAGTCTTGCCTAATTTTAACACAAAAGCAATTTAATGAAATACCTGAAAGATGCATCACCCTAAAGAGCACGGACAAATGTTTATTTATTTATTTAAGTTGCTGTTGCACCTACTGTTTTTTATACTGTTATATTTAAAATAATTTAAAAATAGAATGGTTGAATTTGCTGTAATTTATTCATGTTTACAAAGGGTTTAACCTGAGCCAGGCTTACCACAATGATCAATCATATCACAGTCATGCAGGCGTAGGTATGATATTTTTTTTTATACATACTGGTATCAGATCGGTACTCGGTATCAGCCCGATACCCACAGCACAAGTATCGGAATCGGTATCGGGAGGGAAGAATGATGGTATCGGAACATCTCTAATTCACTGCAGTCTATCTATCAGTACAGCTCCAAGTGCCTATCTCACTGGACTAATTGAGGGATAAACGAGAACTAAAGGAAGATGTAAATCAATTTAGTATGACCTTGGTAATTACAGTCACTGAATTACCAGCCAGGCCTACATAACAAAATTATTTCTCAAGTAAAGCCAGACAAAAATTCAACCAAAGGCGAGCAACTATAATCATGGAATAAAGCCCATATGAATAAAGCATGAGTGCGATGCCACAAGGAATATTTAATGGCTATAAAACCGCAGTGAGGAACAAGCGGTTTGGGTAAAAATGTGCAAACGTTAGCTAGCCAGTGGTGTATCCAGAATTATGCTTCCACCGCAAATACGTGAACATAAAAGATATACACAAAAAAAAGACCAAGACTTGATATCCAGCCATTGTGCTTTCTTACGTCTTACTTTAAACTGCTGCCTCCTCTGATGTGACTTCTCAGTTTGTGAATAATAACTTTGTTAGGTTGGCCAAAGGCTGAGAGCCCTTAAAACGTCAGATGCCTGGAGGCAGCCTGGAGAGCTTTAAAACATTTGGTAATAATTTAGAAAAGATGTTGGTGGTCTCATCTAGTCACTCTGATCATTTTGTTTTAAAAAGAACTTATTATCACTGAAACAGTTTAAACAACTCTAGAGCAACTTCACATAATAAAATGACAACTATAGGTGCTACAAAATGAGACAAACGCAAAACAAAAACTTCATTGTATGTGTCCTTTAACGGTATGAAGATTAAGACTTAGACTAAGAAATTTAGACTTCATGACTGTACGACAACCACCATACATAATTATACAAATATTGTGGGAAATAATTATACTGTAACATGATCATTTCAATGTGAGGTTTATGTCCACTGTTGGGTCTCTAATAATTACACAAGAATCATGCAAATAGATTTTCAGCCCTGGACCCTCCCTTTCAGCACTAACCTCTTTCTTTAAAATAAACAAAATCTATGTGAACATACCACAGACTTCAACATGAGCATGCATGTTACACCAGACACTGGTGAGGAAGAGTTCACATTAGAAAAGCCCCTCAGACAAAAGGCAGGGCCCAAATACTGCAACTCAACCAGCTACTCCTGCAGTAATAAGCCTTCAACTGTTGGATGTATTTACATGAATTCATTAACCTGTGGCGAGAGGGTGTGTGTATGTGTGTATGTGCACAGCAGAGTGCGTTTGTGGAGAAGGTATAAATACAGACACGGGATGCATTTTTAACCTGCGTGTATGTGTGTCTGTTGGAGCTCTCAGGCATTCAGATCTGGCTTCAGGATGGCTCTAATGTCTCTCCTACTCTTATTTCATAAGAGAGAGTGGAAAACTCGGAGTCAGCAAGCTGGCATGAGGAGAGCCTGTGCTGGAAGCAGATCAGGACACACATCTGCAAACCCCGCTACGGTCTGTGTGTGTGGAGGTGAGAGTAAGAAAGAGTGGGTAGTGTGTATGCACGTGCATGTGTGTATGTATAATATCAAGTGTGCGTATCAGAGCAGGAGCAAGAAAGGTGCGAGCAAGAGACGGAGTCAAGCAGGAACAGAGAAAGTGTTTGCTGTGCAGATCTGAAAATTGATCTATGTGGAAAGGCTCTGCTTTGCAGCATTCCACTGTGTGTGTGCATGCACAGGCATGCAGTGTTTTTTTAAAGAAATTAAAACAAAAGCTGTCAAGTAAAATATATATTTTTTAAATTGCTCCCCAACATCTAACCTTTTCATCTATTACAGCTGCTTGTCATCGGTAAAATAACTGGTTGGTCATTTCAGAGACAATTCATTCAAACTAATCAGACTTGACAGCCACATGTGAACTAATCAGGATTTTGGTTTGAACTTTTTACAATTATTTTGAATGGAACACATTTAGTGCTTGAGGTTATAGAGTTCAATCCCATTTAAAAGAAAAAATAAACACATTTGTTGTTTTGGAGGACTAAGTACAGATGCAGCATGTACCTCTCTAATTTGCTCTAAATCCGGTTGTTTCTCCATCTATGTCAGACACACACACACATCCTGACAACCATGCACAACACTAAAGGCCGAGTGCACACGGACGGAATCTAATGGTTCCCAGAGTGCTCCTGAGCTGTCAAAGGGTATAGAACATTACACAGTATGTAATATTGTATGTGGGAGTGGGGCGAACACTGAGACGGAAACAGATGGAACTAGCAAGTCTTAAAAACTCCTCCTCATCTATTAAAACATCTCTTGATTCAGCTACCTGGTGGATACCCTAATAGCTTCCATTATGCATGTTTCTTATCATGCTTTTTCTCTACATTAGTACTTACTGAGCAACTGTTATAATAATAAATTGTATTTCATATGATTCAGCTATATTCAGATAAATATTATTTTATATTTGTGAAATGCATCAATGCATTTCACATATCAGTGTCAGGGATTGTTGATTATTCCTAATTTGGCTTTTCTAAATTATCACCTTCCAGTGGATGTAATAAACATGCAGTACTCAATATATGTGATTCAACCGTACAATAAAACCTTTTTTGATTTATTACCTTATTGTAGTGTGTGCCTTCTATAGTGGCCAAGTAGGCACACTGCATCTTATCACAGTGTGGTGTGCTTTCTATTTAAAACAGCGGAGGAGCAAAGTTGCTCTCCTGTAGTCAGTAACAGTCAGACGCTCACTGATGAAGAGCACGCAAACTGAGAGGAGAAGCTGACATGGGAAGCTGACATTTCTTGTCATGCATTTTTGAAGCGTTAAAGTAATTTATCCAGTAAGAATCCTAAATATTTGCTGGTTTCAGTTAAAGAAATTGGAGAAAAATAAGCTTTTCTCAGATTCCTATTAATGTAAATTGAATTATTTTGAGTTGTGCATGGTTGATGAAACCCACCAAGCAGTTTAAAGGATCATCTGGAACTTCTTTCATTGATACTTGTCATTATTTGTGGATTAAGCAAAATAGTTACAGACAATACCATCACAATTGCACTCCTCCTGTCATCTACAGTAACATAAGCAGGTATATTATGGTCACTGAAGCAAACTAACTGATCTCCATTGATGCAGATCAATACACACGTCTGTGTCAACAATGAAGCAACACAGGATGTTCAGAGTGTTCTGGCTTTAGCTGTAAAGTTATAGAATTTAAAGGCTTGATCCTGCATTTCTATCACATTTGAATCAGATGTAATCTATTTCTCCCCCAGGGTTTGATATGTATCAGCATGATGTCTGACACAGCACCAGATAAAACTCCCTAAGAGATAACAGTCCAGGTACCGAGGCTACATCCGTCAAGAGCAACCATGGCACTCACTTCATCCCATCCTGGGTGTCCAACTGCGTTTGCAACACCAAGTTCCAGCGGAATTTCAGACAACCTCAAGTTTCTGTGATTTCACGCAGTGCGCATTATGTCAGACAGCAGGTTAAGCATACTCCATGTTCGACCGGATAAAAATTATTTTGCTACGAACAGCCAGCAATGTAAAAAAAAAAGAAAGAAAAAAATGTGATGCATTTTCAGCAAAGTTTTCCCGAGTGGCGCGTTCGCTGCCTAAAACGTGGACTTTTTGGAGACATGGATGAACACACATGAAAAAAGACGCACTGTACGCATTAGAAAACGTAAACGCACTTACTTAAACACGAAGTCCCGAGGCGAAAAAACTGCAAGGACAGCGCAGATCGACTTTTCACAACTTGGTCATCTGATGGCCAGCGTGAGCACCGACAGGCACGAAAAAGTCCTGCTCCTCCACTTCAAGCCTACTCGCCCAGGAAGATCCCTCCGATCGGGATTTTTTCACATCACCCAATCATTGAAATCGGGTCCGTGACGCTTTCCTGTTAAAGATGTTTGTCTTATCTGCTGCTCAGTTCATCATCCAGCTCACTTTCAGAGCTACACACACTACGTAGCTGAGACAGAGCCAGTGTGTGTGTGTGTGTGTGTGTGTGTGTGTCTGTGTGTGTGAGTGTTTCAAATGGCGGTGAGGCGCCCTCATTCGCCAACAATCCAATCTACTCCATTATGGCCACAGAGAGGACAGCCAGAGAGAAAGACTGCCGGGCCAAACTTCCAAAATAAAACCCCCATAGGAGCTGCCACGCTCTCTGGTTGGAGTCAGAGTTAATGAAGTAGCAAAAATAATTGTATGAGGTTATTTATTAAAAGAGAAATAGCCCTAAAACATAGAACAATCTCGTTGGAACATATTTGAATTTTAAACAAATGACCCTGATATTAGATTTTTGTTAAGCAAAGTCACACATATTTTATTTTTAATTAAGGTTATACGTTCTTGCAGACTTGAATAACATTTTGGACCAAATACATTTTCCATTATCGTTATTTTCTTCAGTATAAGGGGCAGCTTTGCTCACATTAAAGGCTGGAGGAGACTGTTTTCCTACAAGATGTATACGACAAGTATGTTTCACAGTACACCACGCTTGTTTGCTCGTCTCTTTCCATATGCAAATACCATTCATTGAGAACCATGTGCGCGGGACCGTGTTTTCAGTAGGAAGGGGAAGCCCTGAATGCGCGCGCGACAGCTTACGTGCACGTGAGTAATAATGTATGACTATGAACAAGTTTGCTTGGAAATAATATAACATCGGGATAAACAGTGGGGTCCATATGGTCGAGGTGGAGGGGAATTAAACGAACAGCTCAGCTGCTGCTGACTCAAAACTGGAAAGAAAAATCTCAATCATGCAGTTTTCTTGTGTTTTATTCAATATATTACTTATGTGTCGTGTTTCAGATACTGTAGATGTCAGTCCTGTTTGTCTTATCTGTCTGTCCTCAATCATCGTCTGTCTACTTTATCTCCTTACCTTGACAGGTTGATAGTGACGCGGCTCAGATCACAGTCAGCTGAGCCCTGCCCAGTGCGTCCGGAGCGTGCCAAACGCACTTTTGGTAATTTATGGCCAGGCTCACCTGGCGCACCTGTGGACCCGAAAGAATACCATGTCATATATGCATGTATGTTATAGCGGTGTGTGTTAGAGCCTGTGATAATCAGAGCCAATGGCATTCACTATACTTTCATCCCGTTTAAACACAGGGCTCATCACAGCCACACGACCACCTCTATGTATCCATAAATACGGGGCTCCAGCAGGTACTTTGGTTGGACGTTAAAGGGAAGCAGCCTCTGCCCTCGTTACCCGGTGTTTTGGGTGGAGACACCGGGTAAGATGGTTGTGAATGGATGGATGTTAGTGGAAAAAGGCGTTTTAATTCATCCACAAATTTTAATGGAACTGTGGGAACTGTTATGTGTCAGTCTCCAATATGTTGATTTACATTGGAAAATAATTTGACCATAACCGACTTGTTTTACGTGCACACGAGCACGGAGGTTTCTGTGGTTATTTTTTGCAACAATCTGGTGCTTGTTGCATCAAATTTTACCAGCGGATCTTCCGTGCGTAATTGTGGCTTGACAGTGCGCATCATCAGTCAAATTAATGACTGCACGTGGAAGATATAGGCCCTGCCTGCTCCCTTCAGATGGCTGTACAGAGAGTCACTACAGGAAATATAGTGCCATGGATTATAGAGCTGGTAAGAATCACATTCATTTTTATTTCTGGCTGGCATTAATAATTGCAATACAACTTTTGTTGTGTGTGAATGTGTAGGCTGAGGATTGCAAAAGTGGAAACAATTAACCAAACATGAATTAAGGGCTTTGCACGATTTTATAAAAGCTTAAATAGGTGTGAATACCAAATACAGTGACCGAAATACTATGGAACACAAGTGCGCTGACCTACAAACAGCTTGCTGTTACGAATATCTGCGTCTGTCTGAAAACTACAGCCTGTGTGGGCTCACGTGGAGGGTCCACTGGAGAAGTGACGCCATGAGAGGCTCGCCCAGAATTTCAGCTGTCAGTGGAAATACTCCCCCCGACCCAAGAGCCAACAATTCGTATGGACGGCCCGCCCCGACACGTGAGAGAAAAAACACACCCATGCGCCCAGCTGTTGTTGCTGGCTTGCAGGTTTTTCTGTGCATACACTGCATGTATGTATTTGCCTGCCTGGACCTTGTGATTGTTTTTCTTTTCAGGATTTGACTTCCAATCGATAATCATCTCAAGGCAAACATCCATCAGGGAAAATACCTTTAACTGCAGTGTTAAAGCCAAAGCAACAGTTCATTTTGCATTAAATTCTGCGTCCTGTTATAGCTTACCTCACTTTATATGCAGCATCTAGAGGTCCCAAACCCCAGTTTATTATCAAAAGGTGTCAAAGTCAAACACATTCATTTAGATTAATTTTAAAAATAATGTTTTAAAAAAAATGAAATGAACACTTATCATTTAATAATCTGTTGTGGCCACGTTTCAAGTGATATGCCTATGTTCAATGATACATAAATACATAAAACAAGTTATAGTACCACAATAATGTAATGTTTTTGAGTTAGAATATCTTCATTTTTGGGCTTTTCCAAGCAAATATTGATATAGGTTATTGTTTGCATAAATCCAGATATATTTCTGCCACACCCACACTTAAATCTCTATTCCACCCTCTTGCCACCCAGTGAATATTTCTTTAGATGCCCCTGATATATCTTGAAGTTAGATCATAAGTCACCCTACAAAATGAGTTAACCTTTTGTTCTCTCCAATAACAGACATGTTTATTAGCCTGTAGCCTCCAGTAGGGCCGAGTTCATGATGTAAGTGGATATTTTAGTGCTAGGGAAACAGCATAAACTGGAACTATTCAACATGGCCAGCTCTAAATAAAAACAAAGACAGAGACAAACAGAGAGACAGACACAGTGACAGAGACACAGATGAGGCCTTGGAGGCTATATTTTCTGCAGTGCCCCTTTTTCTCTCTGGCAATGCACTGATGCACTGTTGACATAATTTGTGATGTGAGGGGAAATAAATGGAATTGGCCTGTCTGTATTGAGTGGAGCCATCCTTGTATTTTTATATCCCTGTCCCCTTCTCGTTTACAAGGTCCACAAGTTATGGCCTGGCTTTTCCAAGTCCTCTGGTTGCAGTGCACATAAAAACACTCAATGAGACACAGAGTTGCTCTTATGTAACAAATACTGTAAATTATGACTTGTAGCACAGAGGAAAAAGCTAAAACTTAAATATATTTAATGAGGTTTACAAGTTTTCCTTCTCTGTCAATATGCACAGTGACATTCTTTCCCTTATTTATTCCAGTTAAACAAAAGGTAAATTCAAGCAATATTGGGGTTACTCTAATTTGCTGGCCTTTCAGTAAACTATGGGCACTTTGTTACATTAATTACCAAACAGAAACAGCACTGGCAAACAATTTGTTTGTATTAAATGACCCCTGAACATGTCCATGTCACGGTCAGTTATGGGACAGAGAGCTCTGATTGGAGGAGAGTGGGGGTGGCCATTGAATTAGTTCCTTTGTTATGGAATACTCATTCCTGTGATTGTCTGCTCTGTGTGATCATGTGGACTTATGCTGTATTGAATGTGACAACAGAACAATGCATCCGGCCCACGACTGATGCCACTGGGCCCGCGCTGGAGGGCTGGAAGTGGGTTCCCTTCTCAGCTACACCCTCTGTGGGATGTTTGGTGAACACTGTAGACGTTGCAGCAGCTATCAAAGTGATGTTGCCTTTTAGTAATATCCTCTGTCATTGTGGCAGATGTTGTCACCGTTTGAGACCACTAGCTGTTCAATGCACACGTGCAGTTTTAAACAACACACACAAGTGCTCTTGTTGATAACTTTGTCATTCTGCTATAATCACAGCTGTTACATAATAATCTAAACCAATGGGTTTCTACCGAAGAAGTAAATCTTAAAAAATGACTCATACGTAGTTTCAGTTTTTTTAAAAGCATTAAAACAGCTAAGCACTGTAGCTTTTAACAAATATTAGTCATACTGAAGTAAATACTGAATTTGTTGGGGACTATTTTCCGCTGCAGATTTAGTGTGCAGTATAAAAGGGGGACGGTGTGTGCAGTCTACAATGCCTGTTCACTGTAATCAAGGCTTGTGTAACAATGTCTTTTTAATAGGCTTTGGACAGCAGTGGAGTTCTATGGCACAGTGGAATAAACAATATCAGGCTTTTACGGGCAATATTTGTTAGTAGGATCAACCTTTTTTTCATTGGATTAGTTGTTAATAAAAATTTTACCAGACTTTTTTGTATATACAGGTAACTTTTGATTTTCATTAGAATTGACGCATTAATCACAAAATAACATTTTTAAGGATGGTTGAGATTGTTTCATTTCAATGTCTGAGCCGTCTAACTGAACATAGCTGCTTCAGGCAACATAAGTCCCAGCCATATTCCCATAATTGGTTTTCTGCCTATCCCTTTCAATAGCCATGTAAGATCTATTTGTGTTTGGCTGTCTGTTTGTATTTTCCACATAATGAAAGAGTGCCCTTTGTGTCATCCCCTTCAAGTCACCTGTAATGCATTTAGTGCAGTTTCACATCTCAAGTGTGGCCTTTCACAACTATGTCAGCACCCTGCTGCCTATTGGATTAGGATAAGAGAGAGGAGATGGCTAGAGGGGGAACACACAAACACACATACACAAAAATAACAACAGCAGCAGCAAGTATAGGAACAGATCACTGTGCTCCTGGTTCTATATCTTCTTTATTACGGAGCTGTTGGTAGACTCAGAATGATTCACAAATAATTCACTATTAACACTCTTGAACCCTAATCCAGTAATACAAGTCCCTAACCTGCCATATATATGACAGCAGGAGGTAGGTGGAGCGGACACAGTGATGTGGGGAGGAAATTGAAGTGAAGTGCATGGGATGAGTAAGATCCACAGAGTATCAGCATGAGAGCCCCACCATGTGCAAAACAACACAATTAAGAGGGACGCTTAGCCTAATGAGTGAATGCATCATGCAAATGGTGTTTTTTTTTCAATGCCTACTTTAATCTTGGCTGTTATCGTTGAATACAAATCAGGGACTTAACACTAATGAAAGGAGGATAGAGTGAAAAGAGTGGGATGAGACAAAGGTGAAGAAGAGGGACAGCAGAACCATAGAAGATGGAGGTGGTGATGTAAAAAGCAGTCTGAGAAAGGCTGTGCGATGACATTGGTTGCCGTGATTACTGTATTTAACCCTGTGAGCAGTGTTTACAGCCAAGTTCATTCTTTCAAGTCAAACAATTATTGACACAGCAACAAATTTTCATTAGATTAACAGCGGTTACTTTGTATGTATGCCGCATTGGAAAATACAGATACATTATCAACAAAAATGGAATATTATTAACAAGGAAACTGTAATAATTATTGCAGAATCTTTTATGTTGTACAGGTGTTGTTTTGTGTTACCACCCTACCTATTTCTTATGTAGGTGCACAGAAATAGTGTTTTCAACAATATGTACTCAACAGAAAGCATATTTTGATTCAATGTCTGTGCAAATCTTAGTCAAAAGAACCATTTATTTTGAAATGATAGTTCCTGGTAAATACGGTACTCCAAATTCAACATTTGACTTATTCTACAAATGCTGAAAAGCATATATATGTTTAACAGCAAGAAAACATAAGTTTCATTGAGCAGGGAAACCTCCGGGAATATATAGGAAATAACCCTAGTGAAACATTCTTCATATTACATAAGTAAACAGGCTGCCTCTGCAATACTGCTGATATTTTCTTCTTCTGTTGCCTCAGGCTGTGGAAAGAACGCTGTAAGTTAAACTGCAGAAAGTCTGTTTCACACACACACAGGCACACCACTCTACCACTTGGCATTACACCAAGCTTAAATCACAAACGCCATTCAGTCATTCTGAATACAGTATTGATAATCATGAGGGCAAAAAGCCTGGTGAACAGCTCTCCCTTTTTTCATAAGTAACGTTTCAGTCGGACTAATTGTGCTAAATGCTTCAACTTTTCTCATAATGTTGCAGACTTCTTGCATCTGTAAACTGTCTTGGGTCAGTAAATATGGGTTTCTTACTTCTGTCCCAGAGGCCCCTTTGATTGTGGAAGACGAGAGGCAGCTGGAGGTCTGGTCCTCAACCACCCACCCTTCCACAACATGGCCAGGGAACCTCCCCCATTAACCCCCTCCCAAGCCACCATTATGTAGGGACATGTGCTAATGGTTCACAGTCTACGGTCTAAATAAACAGACCTTGAAAATATCCAATTGAAGCAAGTTCCAGCCAACACATCCTGGCTGCAAACCCACAGTTACTTCATTAATACAGTTTATTTTATTTCGCCTGCATTGACATAAAAGTAGTTCATCTACAAGCTCTCTTCTTCATTCATTCAGACTTTGACCGCAAACCTTACATATTCATCCACACTGACAGTGCCAGTCCTTGTTTAGCCTCTACCTCCACTGGCTCCATAAGGATCACAGAGTAATAACAAAGGATTAAGCAATGTTATTCCCTGCATACCTGCCCCAACAACAGGTTCCCATCGTTTATATTAGCAGAGTCATTGTTGGACAGTCTGTGTAAGCGTGAACATGNNTGTCCCTGACGGCCCCTCATAAACATGCATACACAATCGCAAACACACACACATAGGCAGACAAACATACAATGTAGGTCAATACTGTGGAGTGAGGACCAAAGAGATAGACATCCTGTTTACAGAGAACGGAGAGATGTGTTGAGATGAAGTCAGATTCGTCTGTCCGACTCTTTGGGAAACACACACAGATACACACATACAGTGGCCGACTCCTCCATCATTTCTCTTTAGATTTCATGGGGGGGAATCAATCTCCGCTTTGCCAGTATTCAGCTCAGCATAATGCACCTAAATTGCACCAATCATGGTCTATTCTAAATCTGTATGTCTATGAAAATGATTGTTGAGACTAAGGAGCCTTTTGATGGGAGAGCTGCTGGGGGAACATACTTTTACCAAAGGTTTGTGGTTACCTAGGGGACTAGAACAAAAGCACATCAGTGAAGCACATTATCTTGTCATCCTTACATGCTACCATTAGGGCATGTGAACGGGGACACTGAATATTAAACAGGTTTTCATATTTTCAAACACAACTTAAACACATTGTTGTAAACTGATCATTTAATTGCACTGAAAATATGGGACAGGGACAGGGATTTGGTTGTGTACTAAAAGATTAAAAAAAAGATTTAAAAAAAATTAAAAATGTAATGTATTCTTAGTTTGCCAAGATTTTCCTGTTTGGCATTTGGCTAACATGTAAGTTAAATGTTGGTAACCTACTTTTAACTTCTATAAAATGTTGACTATAAGAAAAATCAAAGGCAGACCTTTCATTAACTTATCACATAGCTACCAGTAACGCTCCCTGGTGGACAAACAGGATATTGATCCATGCTTGTGGATTTAAGTTTTCATTCCAGGGCTGATGTCAGAGGAAAGGAACCACAGGGCAAGACTGTGGCACATTACTTAACAGACTAGAAAGAAAATACCTTCTACTGCTGTTTGAAATATGAAATGAATGAAATAAAATGAAATATGTGCATGAGATAGAAATAAGAACAAAGAAAAGAAAAGGAAAAGGAGAAGAGAGAAAACATGACTCATTAACAGAGAATAGTTTTGTCATTGTAATTACAGCAATTTACTGGTTATTTAACAGACATTTAACAGTGCGTTATCAGCGTTGGAAGCTGAAAGTGTGACTCACTCACCACGAGAAAAACATATAATTCTAAAACCATTTGTAAAACAAAGTCATTGTGCAACAAATCAAAAAGATGTAAAGTATTCAGCATTTTTCAAACACTCTTAACTGTAAAATAATGTACAATTCGAATTAAACCAGTGGGCTAACAGGTTAGTTAGCAGCTCACCAATTGTAAACCTGTACCATGATATGGCATATAAATTAACTTATACTAACATATAATATATTAACATCCTTCATATGGTTCTTTCTGAAAATAAGGAAGCATTGGATGAGCAGCAGGATCTCTCATTAAATTCCATGTGCAGTGTTCTTATCTTGAGAAATTCAGTGCAAGAGTTCTGTAGTTTTAATTAGGTTAGGTCACTAGCTAGAGTTTGACTCCAGAACATCTCAGCAACCAGGAAATGCCATCCAGAAGACCTGACAGGGATTCTGCTACTGTGTCCTGCACCTGAATAAGAAAGAGGAACACAGGTTAAAAAAATACTTCAATTGACACTGGATGGATATAAATGCAGTGGAAAAATCAGACAGTTACCATCCAGGGGATGGCCAGTTGGGGTAGGCCGAGTCTCTTCGCCATGTCAACACAGGGAGTCCGACACTTGGCACCGTTTCTGCTGGTAATAGTTTGCAGGCTTGCTGATCCGACTGCTTCTGGTTCTCCTCTGGAGACACAGGAAAGCACCAGCAGAGGCCTGCACGCTGAACCTCCGGCAGAGCTCAGCACGGCCCGAATCTGAGCCACCTCGGACTCCCCCTCATCTATTGAAGACACGTTTTTGTCTTCAGTGTTCTGCGCTGGTGATTGATAAGACAACAGCCAACGTGCATGATGTGACACAGTCGCGCAGAAGAAGAAGAAATAGAAATATCCTCTTATCTTACCTTTCCCAGGCTCTGCATTGGCTACATAGATAAAACCATCCACCACCTGGCATACTTCCTGCACCTGAGGAGCAGGACTGTAGATTGGGTAGCCTGACTCATCTGTTCCTTCAAACGTAAAAAGTTTATTACTGATGCTCTGCTGCTGCACTCTGGCTCTTTCCCTCTCTGCCCTGCACACACAAACACACAGAGTTCAATGTCTGTATTAAAGTAAAATAAAAAAGATAAATGATTGCAATTCATTTGGTAACTCCAAAGTGTACCTATTGGTTGAGTACAGTGTCAGGATATTAAATTTGTGTTGGTTGTTGAACATGTAACTGATCCCAGAGCCGATACCTAGAATAAAAGGTGGTGAACATTAGTTTGGTTACATTCCTTGGTTATCTTTCTTGATAGTAACTTGTGAGACAACAATTTTAGGCGAATAGTGCCACCTAGTGGTGAACAAGTAAACCCGCAACAAGTGAGATGATGTGATTTTTAAAATTTCTCTCCTGGTTGAGTCTATGCGTGATTAAAATGAAATGCATTAATGTAATATTTGTATAACACCAGCATTATAGTTTGGGTATACAGCAATCTGAATCCAGTGACAGCCGCTTTTACAGGAAGAAGAAGCTGGACTGGTTTAGGAGTGTCACTGTGTTATTAATGATGAAAAGGACCAAGAGAAGCTTATCCTTCATTAGCAGCACTAACTGTCAATGTTATCTCACCATTTATCTGTCTGTGTGGAGTGCCCGACACAGGAAGCACATCTGGGGCATGCATGAGCCTCGTGACTAAAGAGACATCCAGCTGCTCCATGCCGGGTCCGAACATGGCGTAACGCGGTTCAGATGAGGGCACCAGAGACTGAAGGAATGAGGTCACAACCTCATACGCCGGTCGTGAAGGAAGCCATTGTTGCCTGCAGGATGGGCAGCCTTTCAGGTACCTGCTGAGACAAAAACTGTGGTCAATAACATCTTTGTCTTACAACATTTTACCAACTGACCTTGATGCGTGACAGCAGAAGAAGATACCCACTCTGACATGTAGTCCAATTTCGATTTCATCCATTTGTCTTCCCCCTCTTCTCTATCGTCCAGGGTCTCATTCTCGTTGATTAGTGGTGCATCCAACAACTCCAGATGGGGCATGGTCACATGATCAATGGAGGGCCAGTATGGCATGTCCCTGAGCAGGAAGTACCTCCACAGTAACGGATCTCTAACCATGGCCCTCCAGTACCGACTGGTGGCTCCAAAGCGGCAGATATCCGCAGGAGACAAAAATGTCATGATCAGGAACTGTAAGTCCACCTTAAGGACGAAGGATATGATGATTGTTTGTTTTAATAAGTGATACACCAGGTACCGCCATAGCAAGATGGATGCTGTGTGATGAAAGCTGGTGAGCATATATTCCACAAAGAGGGATTTAAATCAGTGGCTTTCATGCAACCTTCAGTCCTCATTAAGACATTAAGTGTCAGGAAAGCCTTTACTTAAGTGGGGAAATACAAAAGTCTGACATTTAAAATTACTTAAAGGAAAGCACAATAATAATAATAATAATAATAATAATAATAATAATAATATTAGGGGGCCTACTTAAACTATCAAACACTAATTTTACAGTCAGAATGGCCCCTGTAAGTACTTACTGATGCACAGCATTTTAATATTATATTTTGTAGTTTAACAGGGGTAGTTTAATCCAGATTTCATAAACCGATCATTCAGTTTGTGTAATATCAGAATCTGAGACTGTGTATAAAAATGTAGTGCTAATGTACTCAACATTACCCTCTGAAAAGTAGTGGAGTAGAAATAGGAAGTACCATTAATTAGTCGAGTAAAGTACAACTTCTGTTCTTCAATACACTGCTTTAAAAAATTACTTTGGACAATTAGTACATCAACGTAAAAGAGTCGACCTTGTATCTGAACGGCCATACTCATTTGGAGAGGTGAAATAGGTGAAATACGTTGACATTAATGAGCATTTGTCTCACCGGTAAGCTATCCAAAAATCCCGGTTGCGGTTCTTCTCCCGTCTCCACAACAGGCGTCAATTCATCTTTGACAACTTCCCCACTACTCGGGAAATATCTGTCTCTGAAGCGCCTGAGACTGCGGATCACTACCGACTCGCTGAGCTGCTGGCTGTCTCCTGCCATGACTCCAAATGTGAGTGACAATAAGGGAATAGCTTATAAAACACACTCTTATGTGTCGACATGTACAAAGTTGACGTTTCCCTGTCGGGCCACACTTCCTTGTTGCTGGCGGTAGTGGTGCATTGTGGGTATTGTAGTCCTACAGTAGTGCAGTTGAACATGGACTTGGAAACTGAAAGTTTGAGCTGTAATACAAAAATAAACGTGTTTCTCATAAAACAACGCGCGTGTTTATTGTCAACGAGGACATAAAAAAAGAAAATGATCTTCGTCCAAACAACACAGATTCTCTATTAATAGTTATACTATCAAGATTATTCAAGTGGCAGAAAAATGGAACTTGCAATAGATGGGAGTACAAGTGGCGCATTACAAAGCTGGTATGAACAAATCTGAACATACTTCAATGGTCATGAATACATCATTGTCAAACTGTTTCTGAACACCTTTCTTTGCCTTTAGTGTGTATATGTTTATACACACATACATATATAATGTATATGCAATTATAATATATTAAAAGCATAACAAAATGGCAACAAAACAATAAATAAAATGTTACTGTGCAATGTCTGATTTCCAGCTGGATTATCTTCGAACTTGTAACAATCTTAAAAAAAAAAAGAAAAAAGGTCAACTTTATTAATAACCTTTTTATATTCATATTAATGTTATTATAACACATTCTCAGAGCAAAATAAGTGCCCCAGTCAACAGTCTGGAATCAGGATGATAACTGCTTTTTCAGCAGGACAGGGCAAAAAAAATTATTCAACAGCCTCCTCTGCAGCCCCTGCCAGTTTTACACCACCTATCAGATACTTTCTAACCTCTCATTCACCTGCTTTGGCCTGGGCCTGTTTGGCATGGGATGAGGTTGCCTGTAGACACTGATCCAAAGACTCTCTTCTTCACATACACTTTCTCCCCGTGCCTCCCCTTAACCTTCCACAACATTACACCCCACCGGATGGGTTCCATTTTTATTTGGGGTTGACACACATTTGAATACTGAACTTAGATCTGTGCCTGAGGGCAACTTCAACACAGGAGCAGCATGGTTCACTGTAAAATACTAAGGATTTCCTTGGCATTCTCTGTGTTCCAGCCCTGGCCCTGCAGAGGGCCCTCACAGGCAAGCACGTATTTGTTGAGGATCTGTGTGCCAATGTCCCGAAACTGGAGGCGATCTTCTTTGCGATCCATAGTGTCAGCGCTGCAGTCTTCGTACTTGACTGCCCAGAAACACATTTCCCCGATGTACATCATTGTCAACAGGTGTGTGTCTGAGAATATGCCTGGTCGAAAACATAAGAAGGTCCTGAGTATGATCACACAGTCCAGTTGTCTTCAACTGAAGAATTTTCTACAACTGGATTGAAGCAGCACAACTATTTTTTGTTACTTAAAAGATAACTGATGACACATTTACCTTCAGATAGGAAGCCTGCTGTAGCAGTGTCATGGAGCACCACCCCATCGTTGAGCTTCACAGAGTTTCTCACCTGCAGCATTCGCATCAGGTAGCGCACCCCTTCCTGAATACACTGGATTCAAATATCAGAGTAAGTAAGTATTAAGTAAGTATGAAGATCAGAACTAATATCAGTATATGCCAAAAAAAACAAAAAAAAACAAAGTACATTTGTCTGGCAGAATCAGTCAAGCTCACATCTCTGTTCACAAACACAATTTACTGAATCTACTTAGATCTTTTCAAAGTGTGGTACCTTAAGGAATGTGTCCTTGTTTTTCTTAATCCACTGTTTTCGTTGATGAAGGGTGTGGCAGTACATGTACAGCAGAGCTCCACGTCTCCAATAGAGGCATTCCAGCAGCTCTAGGCCCAACACAGACTGCACCTATCATGGACCAAAAGACATGAATAACGCTGCCACACCATAACATGGAAGTAAATGTGTGCAAGTGTGTTTTGTGAAACCGTAAACCAAAGACAAAATTAAAGTGTAATACACATCTTACTGGGAATACTTGATAATCAACCATAAAAAGCACAGACGGAGTCACGTGGCGTACAATGAGACACAGTCACATCACCACACAAAATAGTTTACATAGTGTACATTTGTACACACTTCCTGTGCTGGTGCTAGCCTCCCCGCCAACACTTCTGGCTCGGTCAGGTCTTGCAGCAGCTGCTGAATTTTGAATGGTGAACAGTCCTCAGGAAACTCCTGGTCCACCAGTTTATTCTCTTCATAAAACGTGATGTCTAGGATCACCTAAATGATAAGAGACAAATAAAAAACAGCAACCAGCAGTGAATACAAAGTGCAAGAAAAGTATGCAACATTTTAAGAATGACACAAATCTGCAGTACACATTCCTTTATTGAGTTCTTCATTAATAAAGTAGATAAAATCAGTGATGAAACTGATAATATTCCTGCTAGGAAATGCTAGCCACAGCTGTAGCTTCTTCTCCAAAACTCTTATTAAACATCTTCTCAAACTTGAAATCTAAGTGCCCTTACTGATGTCTAATTAACTTGAGTTTTCAGTTGCTTGATTACAGGTAACTTGATATTAAAAACTAGGCTTTTTAGCCAAGGATTAGTCCACTTCACATTACAAAGACCAATTTAACTAAAACGGTTAAGAATCTACGTATAACCACAGACTCCAGTATACCACTGGTTTTAATTTTCTGTAATCTGAGCATCCCTTCAGGCTTTGTACCAAGTTAAAGGACCAGTGTGTAGCAGTGCAGAGTCACCCTCCCCTTCCAAGCCAAAAAGGAGAAACTACGGTGGCCCTAAATCTATCTATCACCCCCATCTACACCCAGTGTTTGGTCTGTCGGTTCTGGGCTACAGTAGAAACATGGCCGACTCCAAGGAAGGTGACCCACGGCATCTGCAGATTAAAAAATGCGATTCATATTTTAAGGTGATTATACACTAATGAAAACATACCTATGACTATTCTATTACATTTCTGCCATTAGATCCTACTAAACAATTCACACTGGACCTTTAAGTAACTCGTTTTGCAGCTTTGGTATTTATATATTATCTCCAGCATTCCTGAAGCCGTGGTAGTTCCCAAAAAGTTAATAGTATATGATTTTGAACTCAAAAGGCTAAACTGAGAGGCTTCTATAGATTTGACATTCAACAAAACAATGACCTGCAGCAATTTAGGTAACTAATTAATCCCTTATGTCATTTATCAAGCAAAACTGCTGCGTACTTGCTGGTTACACATTCTCAAATTTGAGGGTGCTTTTCCCTGTCTTATACAAACATAATACATGATTGAACACTTGGAGTATTTAAGATCACCTTGAGTTCAAGAGAAATAATCACAAATGAAAATAATGACCTTATGCATGTAATGAAATCTGATGTAAGTTAATGAAGTACCTGTGTGTAATCCTGGAGCACCTTGGAAAGGTTGCTACTCTCCCCTCCTTGCCTGTAATAGCTTTTCAACTTGTCTAGTATGGCAGACGCATTCTGTAAATAGTCATCATCTATGGAAGAACGATATGTTAACATGTTACCAATTACAGATCTAGACTCACTTCAACCTGACACATTTCACAGTAACGCTGATAATTGGCGCTACATGTTTACACACAATATTCATGCAAAACTATTCCACTATGTTGGAAATAGAGCAACTTTTAACGTTAGACGTCAAAGGCAGGACTATGCGACAACCATGGCAATAAACGTGTAACTTATTAACAATGTCAAGCATTTGATAATGTTGAAACGTAATCACAAATATAAAGGAACAATTCGACCTAAAAATAATGACAAGGTTACTTCTCAACTCCGGTATATTTAATAATACGCAGCATCATGTTTGCTGGCGAAACGTTTGTCAACAACAACGCATTCTAGCTAACGTTAGCGAACTTACGTTAGCCATTAACTCAAACAGCCAGATAGTCAAAAAACAACAATAACGTTACTAAGCAACATTTCATCGCATGTTAGTCAACCGAACTGCAGGCTAAGTGCTATTTGTCAACACGCAACATTTCGTCAGACAGCAGCTGTTGTTGTTATGGTAGCAAGCTACGTTCGAAAACGTTAGCTAACGTGCTAGTTGGCTAGTGAACTGAACAAGACCGTTAGCCTCGCACACGAAGTGCCAAGAGTGGTCACGTGACAAAACAAAAGCAACAACATATCGTATCGATACCTTGCTTTTCGGCTCTGAGACTAGAACACTTGATGTCTAACTCAAATATCCTTCTCTCCAACTCGAAGCCTTGTCGCCTGTACTCGTCGGCCATGACTAAAGTATTCGTCACGTGAGCCAGGGATTACTCACGTGCTCATAGAATGTCATTTCTGTTTGTGTTTGTGTGTGTGTGTGTGCACGCGCACGGGTTAGCTACAACAACAAAAAGTGTTAAATGTTAAATAGTCGCCACGACTCAATGCGTGAACGTTCATGCTAACACCTTTTTATTATTATTTTTTTATTATTTTTTAAATTGTAACGTTCACGCATCTTGACGTACGTGGAGTAATTTTACGGCAGCGTGGTGGAAGTGGAAGGGTTAAATTTAAATGAGCTTGTCGAGCCTCTCTGATTCCACTTGTGCTGGTCCGGCCCATTAACACACCAGCCAATGTCATCGTGGCGCAGACTTTTCGGTGTGTGAGCTAGCAGCGCGTCCTTTCAGCCTACATCATCTTGTCGCCCACCGGCTGCAGCTTTCACTCTGCTCCTCGGCTCAGTGTGTGTGTAGCTTCAAAAACATGGCGGCCCTCAAAGCGTTGTGCAGAGCGGAGAATTTATTCTTCAAAAACCTCTCAGGTCGCAGCAGAGCCAAATTAAACTTGGCGTGTCTCCAATTGAGCAAGGTCGGTATTTGACTGGTGACAGACGGTAATTAATTGTAGAAATAACTCGGTTGAGATGAGATGGTAGAATATATCTGGGCAAGATTAAAAGGTCATAATATTGTGGAGTCTTTATTCCCTTTGTCGTTCAACATTTCGGAGTCGAGTGAATTTATGTCATTTTTGAATCCTCACATATTGCTTTTGTTTGATGTAAGTTAACTTTTCGATTATATCACTGACCTCAAGCTGCTGGTGGGGATTCTCAATATTTCCGTCAACACATTTCGCAGCCATATTACAAACTATTGATTGACTTTCACTAAAACACAACGTGCATTTGATCATTTATGCTCATATGTCATTGCACGCATCAGTGACTTAAAACACACAATGCACATTAGTGAAACCCTCAGTTAACATGCAGCAGTTAACACGTCCAGTGTGAACGTGTGTGTTTGCATAATCCACCCCTACCAGCATAGCTTTACATGCAAACACATTACAGTGTTTTCCTCATGTTTCTTTTTCGTCAGTGCCCGTATTCTGACATGTTAGTCATGTCTAATATTACATCAATGTAATGTGTAAGTTTAGATCTAATGAGGAAAGCAAATGTATTTTGGCAAATTTATTTTAGAAACATTCTTCTACAGTTTCAGTAGTAAGAAGAAGTCCTGTTAAAGTCTGATCAGTGAAGATAAATATGGTGTGTTATGCATGAAGGAACAAAAGGAAATGCTCAGTTAACATCATACTATTAAATTGGCCTTTCTTCTTGTAATTCATACACAACATATATTAAACTGCAGAGGCAAATGTTTAAATATATATATATAT